TAAAATTTATAGTCATATAGTGTTTATTGCACACCCAATATGCATGCAATAAAAAAATACATAACATTTGTAATCATATATTGTAAATAAAATTTTTATTACTGAAACAAACTTTAATCTTTCAAATATTTGTCATAAAATAATTTTATATTGGTAGTTATAATGTTTGGGGTAGTTATGTTGAAAACATATATTTAAATAATTAAAAGTAAAATTAGTCATGAGTAGTTATAGGTGGTTAAAGTACAAGTAGTGTTTATAAGGATGAAAAAGAAGTTCATAAAGTGATGATAAATGTTAATCCTAAGCCCCTTCCTCAAACTTTATATATAGTATAGATTATAGATGTTTATGTACTTGCTTTTTACAACAAAGGCAACTATCTCACTCTTAACCGACCTTTATTTTTTTTAAGGAAACGAATCAAATCGTATCAAACTTTTGAGCTGCTAGGCTTGATCCTAATTTTTGGCTTCAAGCTCAAATTCAAACTCAAATTTGATATGAGCTTAAATTTGACGTTTGAGTTCGATTTGATTTAATATTTAATAGTTTCGAGTTCAACTCAAGAGTTAATTTTTTTTTAATTTTCTAATTTTTATTATTATTTTATCAATAATACATATATAATATTCATATAACAAAATAGTAAATACATAAGCTTATACAAAATATTAATAAATATGTAAAAAAAAATTATTTGACCTATAACGAAACTAATATATGCAAGTTTAAACTTGATGAAGTACTTTAATTAAATCCTAACTCTTGTTCAAATTCAAACTCAAACTCATTAAAAGTTGAACTCGAATTGAACTCGTTTAAAATGAAAATCGAATTGAGCCCTTAACTAATTGAGCCCAAACTATTGTTAAGGGCTCAGTTCATTTACAGTTTTATCTAACTAGGTTTTTGCATGTTAAGATCCCTGGATCTAAACTTCCTGAGCCCCCCTCCCCCACAAATCCCACCATAGAGAAAAAATATTCAATTTTTTTCAACAAGGTCAATGTCCAATTACCATCCAAACTTTTATTTGGTAATTGGATTTCGGCCGGATAGTTGGTATTTCGGTAAACTATCCAAAGTTCTAGATTGTTTTTCTAATATAGATTAGTTAAGAGTATTTAATTTGTAACTAACAATGTAAAGTTATTAATTTGTTAACTAATATACTTTTAGGCCACATATTTGTTTATAAGCATAAATTATAACTTATAAAATTATTGATTAATACATTAATCTATAATATGCTATATTAGTAGGCATGAAATATATAAAATATTTAATTAAAATATGAAATTCGGTAACTCATTTTGGAATTCGGTAATCGAATTTCAATTTTAAGATTGGATCTTAATCCGTTTTTCTGAATTCCATTTTACTGATATCCGATTACAGATCCAAATTGGATCGGCCGGCTACTCTTTTCCACAGTGTGAACTAGAGGTGGCAGTATGGATAAATGGTTCATAATTAGTTTTGACTTAATGGATGGTGGATGAAATTTATCCAATCCATATAGATCCATTTAATAAATGGATCTAAATGGATGGATCTAAATGGATTAAAAAATCCAATTATCCATTTATAATCCATTTAAATATTTTGGTTACTTTGTTTTTGTATTACCATTTCTTGTAATATGAATAGCTTTGAGAAAAAGCGGGAGTATTTATAAACACAATAATCTTGGACTAGTCTAAATCGTGAATTTCTGGACGTCCTAATCACTTTTTTTCTCACCTTCATTAATTTGACGTGGATCTATTCTGCAAGTTTCCGTTAATAATTCTACAGCATCTGAGATATCAATTAACAACCACATGCCCCAAGTCTTTAGCGTGCAAAGGGCGTTGGAAATTAGTTATGTTTAAGTTGTTAAGATTTTCCCACTCAATCCTTCATTCAACAGCTGTCACATGTGGTCCTTCATTCCCAGTTGGTTCTAGTTAGAGGGATCTATCCGTTTCTTTTATTTGGTTTTTAGGGAAATGGATATATGTGATTTTTGTGGATAATCCATATAAATCCATTTAATTTAATGGTTTTACTTGGGTCAATCATTTAAAACCAATACCATAAATGGATAATCTAAATTCGTTTAATTATGGATTATATTGATGGATAGATGGATTTCAATCTAAATTGCCACCTCTAGTGTGAACACCCCTATCCTACATTTTCCCGTTAAACAAAAAAAAAAAAAACATAAAACCAGGTTTTCCGCTGGGATAACTAAAGGGGAGTCAAATCCCATATTTAGTCCAAAGTAGTGAATTAATACGTGCCGGTATTCTAACCCGGACGTGGAGTTGACTCTCATGTCCTATTATTCTAGCAGTCGAAGCACTCATTAAAGTAAGGGATAATTGCAGAAACCTCCCCTAAGGTTTCTGATGGTCTCACTCACCTCCTCCTAACTTTACAAAATATCAGATACCTCCCCCGTCAGGTTATTGGGCTCTATTTGTGATATCATTGATGATGAATTGACAGATATACCTCATAACTTATGATATATTTCGAAACTATTTTGACAGAATTAGTTAAATGAGTAATGTGAATGATTAACCAACTTAACTATAATTTGGATGCAAAACTAATAGTGAATGATTAACCAACTTATCTACTATTTGCTCTTTATTGTTGGTTTAGCTATGCACAAAGAGCTATTGGCTTCTACTTTCCAAAATGCAATACGTACCTTGCCTTTTCCATCAATTTCAGATACACCCCCTGAAATTTCATTGTTGTTAGATGATTTGTACTGTTTAACAAAAATTTAAGCCCCGTTTGGCAAATGAGTTTTTTGGGTGTTTGTCTAAAATTTTACTATAGTTTACTACAAAAGTTTTTTAAAATTGTTTGAAGTGTGTAAATTTTTGAATATTTTGAAGTGTATAGTTTAAAAACTTTGAGAAATTTTTTGAGGTTACTGTAGTTGAAGTTTTCAAAAAACTTGTAGCAGACAGACTTGACAAAAAACTCAAGTGCCAAATAAGGCCATCACTAATGATAATGTTGAGGGTAGATGTGGGATGAAGTGTTTTTCTCTCTCCTGATACATATTTAAAATTGTTTGTGCATTTGAATTGGGTGAGATTTGATACACTCTACTTAGTTTTAGGGGAGGTAGCTGATAGTTTGCAAAGTTCAGAGGAGGTGAGTGAGACTGTCGGAAATCTCAGGGGAGTTTCTAAAATTATCCCTTAAAGTAATCCATCACTTACAAAAAGAAGAGAAAGTAAGAAAGAAAAGTTCAAATGGATCATTCAAATTTTTTTTTGGAAAAATCAAATACCTCCATTCATGCTAAATAAATCTTGAAGAGCAGCGTCCGTAACAGCCTTGGGAAAGTCCACAAACCAAACTCTACTTCCCTCAAGAGACAAAGACATTTTAGACACAATGTGGGTAGGAACATTGTTGGTCCTCCTCACATAATTAACACTTATAAAATCAAAAGTAGTCATGAGTGCTCTAATAGCATGAACTAAGTTACCAATCAATGACAGATCAGGCTCATTCAAATTTAATTATAAGTATTTCGGTTTTCAATCTAATTGAATAATGCTGAGACATAATCAACAGTAACCATTTCAAATACTGAATTGTCTATCCATTTCATTACCAACCAACAATGGATTTTATGGGATGAATATAAATAAAAAGCCTGGCATGCCTTGAAAAGATTTGGTTAATTTAATTTGTTTAAAGTCGTTTTATAATTTGTAGCCAACATTCCAGCCCAAGTCAAGTTCATTTGGCATCTGATTCCAGGAGCTTATTGCATCATCAATCGAGGACTAATGAACTACTGGAATCCCTTCATTTTTGAGCCTATTTCAGATCATGCAACGAATCACACTATACTAAAACGTATGGTCAAGCTTGATTCCATAGATAAGAACAGAAAAGATTGGGAGGAAATTGACATATTCGTACAAAACTGTGATTAATGCAACTTTAAGTACTCCATATTTCTTATTCAGTTGATTCACCTCAGTTTTCTAGAGTTAATATAGCTGCAGATGGATTTCAGCGTATACATTTCTATGACCATTTTTGTTTAGTTATGGATCTCTGGACAATGTCAGAGAATTTTATCGGACCAGTGCATATAAATTGGCTATGGAAACCTAGCAAAATGGATGGAGGCCAGAATCAACCCTGACAAAGAAAAGGTCTTTTTTGTGACCTTGTCCCCAACACATATATGGTGAGTTTTAGTTTACTGAAGATCCGTAGTGTTGAAACTTGAAAGCCTAACCAACAGATTTTAGGCACTTGAACAGGTTGGCTTGGTATTGTGGGTGCCCTTTAACAATCTTGCCCAATTTGTAACATAGATCAGTTATTATTTCATCCTTTTTTACCAAAACACCAGTTATATACTACTGTTTTTTCGTGATTTTCATTGTAGAACTGGGATTATCAAAGCACAGAAAAGAAGATCATACTTCAGTCTTTGGTGCCAGGCATCCCAGATGCATAGAATAAGATTTGCTATGCAATGCTTTTGCAGGGATTGTAGCAATGAATCAATGATTGCGGGATTTATCCTCAAATTCTTCTGTCTTGAATGGTTGACACAGTATTGATCATCTTCTTAGATATGCCAACTTTAACCTTTTGATATCTAGGAATAACTAATGAGCAATATCCATCTTTTCAGGAATATTCGATCGAGAGCCTTCTCTGTTATGCTAGGAATGAGAATGTGACTTGGATAGCAGACTACAAGTCCAACATGATAAAACTTACAAATTTCTGCAAATCAGTGTTGAGATGCATGCAATGCTGTAGCAGAAAATGTGTATGTTTTTGCTGTAGGATGCGGCATGGATCCCATATAGGCTGCATTTACAATGGCGGTTCATCTTTTTGCTCTAATTTTCATCTGATGCACTTCAATTAGTAGCCCATTCTAACTTCGATGTTAAAAAAGTACTTAAACCTTGCTCAATTTGAATGCCCAATTCAAAAAAGATTACCAATTACTGCCAAAAATCGTACATTTTCATTTATATGATTCAGGCGTTGTCAATGCTGGGCTATTGCAAGAAAAACCATCAGCTCATGGTTTGGAGAAAATGTATGATTGTGTTATTTACTTTTAGTTGCTTCAGCAGACTTTAAAAGAATCTGAACCCCCTTATTGACGTAGGACAGCTTGAGATTCATTACAGAGACCTGCCTAGGGAAGAAATGTGTAGAGCACATTTGGCTGCATAGTTGCAACCAAGGATCAATGAACCTTACAGAAGCTCCCACTCTGACTCACCCAAATCATGTGCTTGTGAAGGTCTTGATGCAGATGGCATGTAAGGTGAAAGAAACAGCTCTGAATGGAAGCTGGTATCTGCCTCAATGTCACCAAATCGAATTGACAACTGCTCATACTCCTTGATTAATCTCCTTCTCGAAGCAAAAGCCTCCTGAATCAGTTTCTGAGAAAGGGAAGAAACAAAAGATGAAGTGAAGAAGGATCAGTTGTGCTCGAATATCCAATCCAAAAGCATGAAGCCTATCGTCACATGCTCAAGAGGTGATAACGATACTGCAATACCAATAGTACAAAAATATGGAGAGCCAGACAAATCCCTACATGTACAAGACTAACTATTCCTAGCTATGAAAGACTTTCTACCTTTCACAAGGCAGAAAAGTTTGTTTCTTGGGCTGTTATGATCATAACAATTATGACACTGATCATTATGGCAGGTACTCATTTGAGAAAGGCAATCTATCATCTATACCACAAAGGTCAAAATAAACTTCAGCAATACATAACATTAGTTTGCTTATCACCAAAGTTCAAGCAGCGATCATTCCAAATCATACTCAGCTAAATGCTTAGAAGGAATTCTCGAATAAACTTTAGCTCAGGTACAATTTACTTTAACTACTCTTGTACAGGCATGCACGACAACAAGGCCAAACAAGAGTAATCAAAACAGTGCACTTTTCAAATATGTAACTAATACTATGAGCCATGACAAGATGCAATCATAAAATTTAAAGTATTTGATGGGCATCAACAAAAAACACCACACTACCCCTCATGATGCATCCACATATACCACCTAATGCGCACACACAAACACACACATACAGAGAGAGAGAGAGAGAGAGAACCTTGAATGATCTAAATTTTCTTGGTCTGCATGAGACAGCATGGAGTATTTCATTATCCATGACAACACAACTGTCCTCAACTTTTACTTCATCAGACAGATCGATTGTCTCCATTTCGGCATCATCAATATCATTAACAGAGTCATCAAAGATCCCTGTTAAAGCCATTCCAAAGTCAGGAACCATGTGTTATGTATCATTCTCGTAAAGCATTTGTCTAAAAGCATGACAGTGTTCCAACTGGACAATGTTCCTTCTTGTTGAAAAGAACAACAGACAAGCCATTCAGACGATGTAAATATTAGCAGTTATGGGCATAAAAAGCTAAATACTTCCTTTCCATCCACCCTTTGAACCAAGACCCCCCCCCCCTTTTCTTAGAATAGAATTATGAAAATTGAACAAAAATATAAATAGTTTGAACACATTTCAATCATATACAAAGACACCAGTTTCTAAATAAGCACCTGTGAAGGGTTGTTGATAGGTAGTCATAGGGAAAGCAGGCATCCCACTTACAGCTGTGTTACCAGAGGTCAAACCAGAGAAGGATGCACAGGAAATGCTGGAGAGTGCTGACGAACAATCAGTGAATCAGTGTCATCAAAACAGACTTCCTCTATTTTCTGACTAGAATTTGCCTGTGGAAGTTCTAGCAGATCCAAAAGTTCGGTTGATGCAGTATAATTTGAAGATTCTGTCTGAGCTACTTCAAGCTCCCAACAAGTATCTGAAGAAACCAGTTCAGATGATAGGTTGGTGCTCAAAACATCTGAAAGTGAATTGCATATTGTCTCATTCTTCAGGAAGGCTCTAACCCCAGCATCATTAACTGAACTAATGGGTGAAAAATTGGCAGAGTTTGTAATTATATGGTCTTCTTTCCTAGAAATTGGTGACAATCCAGGTGAACTTTCACCATTTTGAGAACTGAAGTCGTCATTTTCCACTTGCAGCTTGCTTGAACATAAGTATGACTCAAATATACTATTATGTCCAGGACACCCTAAAACTTCTGGAGCTGCATGTTTCTCCCCAAAGCCATTCTCCTCAACATCGAAATTAGAGGACATGCATGAGCAGTATCCATCTAAAGAAAAGTCAGATTCAGTTTCAGTTTCATTAGAACAAGACGGCTATTACATTCTCCCTCTTCTTCTTCAGAAGCTCTGAGCCCTTCATCATTAAGTGAAGTTTCTGGTGATGACTTTGCCTGAATGGTTGGCCAATATTCATCATTCATGGAAGCATGTAATGATTCACACAAACCTTTATCCAGCAGAGAATTTGAGTCGCAGCCTTAGAATGCTTCTCCCTTGGATGTGATGAAAAATCGAATGAACTTCCATAACTAGAGTAACTTCTGTCATCAACCACCAGATTCTCCTTTCTGCCATTCTCTTCAAGACCCATACCATGTTTTGTGGATCCTACAGAGCCATTATGATCTAAAGCCAGGTTTTTTACTGCTTCCTCAGCAGGATCTGCATTACTATCTGCTAAATGTTCAACTGGATCAATTCCAAGCACATTATTAGGAACCAAAATTTCTGGAGAACATTTCCCCAGATCACTAGATTTTTTATCATCATCAGTTGAACATCTCATGGGTGTACTTCTGTCTTTCAAAGCATAAGAATCATAACAATCTGGCTGCTCCTGTGTCCATAATAACTCCCACAAATTCTTAGCCTCAGAAGAAGTTGCATGCTCAGAGGCTGGACGCTCCTGAACTGTGTCATTGTCTTCAGCACATATCTTTGACTCCTTGCTGATTGCATTTTCACCATCTTGTTCAAAAACCAAGTAAGTTTCTGTTTCTTCAGAAACATCTGTACCATTGCATTTCATATAGTCCTCCCCAGATGTTCTAAGCTCCACATCCTCAACTAAAACCTTTGGAGAAAACTCAGCCTGGAAGCTCTTTCTCTGATCTCCTTCATTAAAAGTGTCTAATGGCCCATATAAATAATTATCAACAGGAAACTCCAAATTATCAGTTGGTTGATGCTGCTCCCTCCAATATAATGGTAATTCAGATGAATTTTCATCTGTAGGATAATTCAAGTTACTAGTTGGTAAATAATCCTCTCTTTTGACATTCTCCTCAAGAACCATCTCTATTTTATTGTGGAAAGCAGCATCACTCATTTCTCTCCTGTGCAAGTCCTTTTCTACTACTTGGGAAAAATCTGCAGAAGGTGGAGGGCTGAGCTGTCCCAGATGGTCCACTTCATCTGGATCACAACTTCCAAAATCAACTTTATCCTGCTCCTTAGATGATCCCCTTTCACTGGCATGTCTCTGCTTATCTTTGTCAGCTAGTATATATTTAGTATGTTCCCTAGAGCATTATTTTGTGCAATGGTCCCCGACTGAACTTTAGCTTGTTTAATATCCTCCAAAGAAGATTGAAAATCAAGCACCACATTAGAATATAATGTTCTCATGCTTTCACCACTGTTTGCACTTGATTCTTTACATATTTAGCATTGTCCTGCAAGAGCAAGCAATTCAACAATCAGAAAGATCTTCATATAGATAATCATCTGTAGCATATGAAACAGGGAATCTAGAACAATTAGAACATTAGACCACATGCTCCAGTCCTCCTCGAGCATGAGACATGATGTCAATGCTGAATCAGGCTACTCTAAGACCTCCATTATCAATAGCCATAATCATTGTTATAATTTTTACATGAAAGCAATTACAAAAAATTCAACATGGCAAATAAAAAAAATAAAGGAAAGCAGTACCTTAGTCACAAAATCATCAACGTCCTGGCAGATAGCCTCAAACTTGTGGTATATGTTCCCAATCCATGTTCTACCTTTGGACTCGTGATCCATAATGCTTGTATGCTACCTTCCTCAAATAGGGATTAAAACTCTGCTTTTCAAAAAGCAACTATCTACGAATCCAACCACGATACAACCTGGACAAAATATTTAGAGATTTCATTAACGGGGCAAGTTTGTACTTGAAGATTAGTTCTTATCCTGTTGTTTAACTCCAGCAAACATAAAACCATCATTCTGCTACTAAAAAGTCTACTGTCTTTGGAGGGAACACAAATAAGCGACAAAAAAGGAAAAAATAACAGTCTGTCAAAGTTGGGCAATAGCAGTTCGATAATTAGCTATATGAGATCAATCAAGTCAAGAAATTGACTTACATTTAAATAGGTTTTATCCCATTCTTTACCCTGTTTCAGACATTATTAATTTCAACTAATTCATGTTAACATCCACAAGAATTAAGGAAAGCCTTAACTTTTGATCATCAATGAACAGTTTAACTCAATCCCACAAAACAAGAAAAACCCACCAAGTGGCAAGTACTGAACATTATTCAACCTTTTAGAATCCAAAAACCACTTTTTCCTTTTCTATTAAATTCAGGTAAGTAAAGCTCCTGATCAACGTAAAAACTAGCATACACAATCGGCAACCAGGCGGACAATATATACAACTTTTATACTAGCTCACATTACAACTCTAGAGATATCCTATATGAAGCCAGGAGCTTACCGGCTACCGGAGGCGTCTGCCGGCCGGTGGATGCTTATGAAGATAATCTGGAGAGGATGATGATGGTGGTGGAGAGGGCCGCAGTTGCTCAGTTTCTTGGACAGAATTCGGAAGAGTTTTTGAGGGAAAAAAAAAAAGCTAATGGTAGTGTCGTCGGGGAAGGAATAATTATTCTTTATAGAACTTTTTTTGTAATCCTTTTCCGTTTATGTTTTCTTTTTGTCCGTTATAGTCGAAAGGGCCTCGATTTTTCAATTTGGGCCAATAATTTTCTTTTTTTGATAATGGGCCAATGAATTGTGAAGTAGTGTCAATTGGAACCAAATTAGAAATACAGGTAAAGTTTACTGATCAATTTCAAAGAAGAGATACTTTCCTTCTTTTTCATAGTTCACCTTCATGTAATATATTAACCAACTGTGATATCTGTAATTTATCTTGTTCAAATACTACATTTAAAAATATATTATGGAGAAGTCGAAATCGTTGAATTTGGTGTAATACCATTTTCAATTTAGGCAAACATACATTGCCTTTTTTTTTGTTGTAATTTTTCATTCTTCAATCATTACAATTATAGGGGAGAGATGGGTTGGGTGATTCGAAAGAAGTGAGTGTAAGTGAGAGCTCAGAGTCGGAGTCTTTCCATTTGCACTAACAAAAATGTCATAACAATTATATAAGTATCTCACATCTAATATTTATTTTATAGAGTAGTTTAAATTTTTTAAAACCACTTTGATGCAGTTGACACGTAATATTAGAACCTTTTTTTGTCATAGAGTGGTTCACAATTTTTTAAAACCACTTTGGTACAGTTGATACGTAATATTAGAACTTTTATCTCGTTGTATATGATAAATTGAAAAAGAACAAAGATAAATAATTTGGATTGGCCATTATTTTCCCAAATATATTTGCTTATATCATCATTACAATTTTCAATACACATTTTTACCTTCCCAATTACCTTTTTATCTCACATACATCACATCACAAAAAGTGCTACAGTAAAAATATCTCAAATAACTTACAATCCAAACAAACCCATAATGCCGATAAATAAGGGCCTATATATCCGAAGATCCACGGTTCCAACTCCCATGTGATCCAATTAAGTGAGATATCATATGTGAGTCGAATATGAGGTTCATTTTGGGATATCCACAGATTTCCAATCCATACTTATATATTGGGGTTTAGTGTAATTTTTAAGATATCAAAGTATTTGAATATTTATATACATAAGGATACTTTTACTGACGAAAATATTAGGCCTCTTGATATGTTGTTTGTAGTTTATTTGACTTTTTTTCGCTTAAAGAATTTGGTTACTATATTTAATTAGCAAAATTGTAAAATGTGTAGTTAATTTAGCATGATGTCTTTTAAATGATACTCTTTATTGCCGAGTGATTTTAACGAGTTAATTTTATCTATATTTGTCTAAAAAAAAGTTAGACAAACCTAATTTTTTAAAATTCCAAATATATATTGGATATCTGCATTTTTGACCTAATAAGTGGATATATATCCACATTTTAGACTCAATAAATGCGGATGCGGATGCGGATTGTAAAATTCAACCCATTTGCACACATACTAATAAGAAGATAATTACTTTATACAAATGCATCATTTATTCGAATAAAAGCTACATAGATGTAGTTCAATATAAAATTTCTTAGAATAATTTTTTATACACTGACAACATATAACTTTTTTTTAAATACTAGCAGGTTTGGATCGTCTGCCACGGAACATGAATTCAAATCATACATATGTGACATATACTCATAAGTGTGCTAGTGTAAAAAATACTATACAGTCATTGCATAAAAAATTAATCCGATCTATTTTATGCGTAGTGTAAATAAAAAGTCACGAATTCGGGTCTCTCACTTGCACTCTATCCCCATTGCTGCCCCCTCCCAAATTTCTGATAATTTAAACACAACCATGTCCACAACAATAAAAGCAAGTGCAAGTGTCATTGTCTGTGAACCACTGGGCCAATGGCTCAGTGGCCACCAGGGACTTAAATCCCTCCTTGAACCCTCACCAACAGCGAAAAAAATCTAAGGGTTGTGCTATAGTACTCCCTTGGTCTAGTTGAATCTGTATACCCACTAGCCTCTACCACAGCCTTCTTAGGTTCCCCTAGATTAGGATAGAGTAGGTTATACAAATGTATCGTTGCTGACAAAAAAAAAAATGTCATTGTCTGTGCATATTCCATCGGCAACATCTCTTTTTCTACCGCCACGTCGCTGCAGACACGTTGAAATGCAAAAGCCACTGGTGCAGCCTCCACTAATGTAGATGCCTTCGGAATTGTCTTTTTCCATCAACCATTGAAATTGACCCATAGCCTATAGGAAAATAAAATGAAAAATGGTTATACATAGACATCTTAAAACAAGAGTTAAAATCTATACTTAGAATTGCGTCTAAATTTATTATTTTTTTTTGGAAGTGGTGTTGAGTATGTTTGAAAATTGAGAAATTGTAATATAATTCTTGATTAAAGGAATAAGGATATTTTATTGAGAAATGATTTGGCCCAGAGGAAGGAATTGTTATTGCTAAAAAGTTAAAATGTGTGCAAAAACTTTATAAAAGTCAATAGCTGTATACATTTTTTTTCCTTGTACGTATTGTATGTTCCTTTTATCTTGCATTGTAACTTATTAGCAACTCTTAAAGAAATAAGAAGAATAATTGTTTCAGTATAAAGTATAGTTCTACCACTATTGATGAAACAAGAAAGAAAGCTAAGAAAGGGACACTTATGAGATGTATTACCGAACGTGATGAAGAACATAAGAATTGTAGCAGCAACAAGAGAATGGTTCTTCATGACTTCCTTTAGATTGTATTGCTATTTCGAAAGTTTTCTTTTTGTGTGTAAAAATATATGTATAATGTGATGAAATCATACACTTTTTCACACACACATATATATAGTGAAAATTTGAGATACAACTGTTCATAAAAGGAAAAATATCTTTGTGAAATTTCAAATTGGCAAAATCTTCAATATTTGTTTCAATAACCATAATTGTGCTTTCCTAAAAAAAAAATTAAAAGGTGATATTCATATTTACGTTGGAGAAGGTAAAAGAATCAATTAATGTATTTATTACTAGTCTTTCAAGTCAATTTAATGAAACTATGAGCCGTATCATAATATCCATGATTCTATACTTAAGTAATTTGGTAAGTAATTGTATAAGAAGATACAATATTAACATATTTTTCATGATCTCACTTTCCTATTTTATTGTTAGTATACATTAATTTTTCCATTTTAAAAATTTAATATTGTCTGATTTTATTAACTTTATATTGTGTTTGACAATTATTGGCACTTCATATAATTATTATGATTCTAACAAAAAATTGATATTCACTACATAGTTTCCTTTGACTATCAATTATTACTACTAATGAACTAGTTTTTGCTAGTATGCAAATCCATTTATTTTTGTGCATTAACCTACACCTCACTCTAAATTTTGTTAAATTTATATAAATTGAGCTAATCCAAAAATCAGAGCCAAACTAACAAACCAATACTCATTTTAATTCTTTATTTATGTCCCTCAAAAAAATGTTTATTTATGCTACATAAGGTTGAAAAGTTGAACTAGTCCAAATTGCCAACTATATAATTGACTCAAAACATATCTAGACTAGCAATATCTTAAAAATAAACATACTTATTGGCCATGAGATGTGATTGGCCTCGTACGACTATAGGTTGAAGTACTTGAAGCATTAACACAATTCTAGGGCTGTAAATTGAATCAAACAGCTTGATACTCGGCTTAAACTCGATTCGCATCAAACTTGTTCAAACTAATAGTATCAACATGATTTCAAATTTGAAAATATTAACTAATCAATCATGATTTTAATGTTGTTTGACTCGATAATTCAGGAACATGTAGGACAAGTAAATTTCATAAAAATATACCTATAGTTTCCTTCCTTAACTCCACTTCTTTTCTTCCCTTATATTGCTTATCTTGTAACAAGCATCTAACACTCTTGTTTCATGGATAAGCATAATTGATTTTAATCACATCTCTGATTCATTGTAATTGCTTATCTTTGATCAAGCACATCATACTTTTGTCTCATCAATAGGCATAATTGATTTTAATCACATCCCTAATTTATTCTAATAGATTTCTTGAATATTAGAGTCCAAAAATTAAGGGGAAAAAAGCAACAAATTGGGGTGAATGATCATTGATTAGCAGACAAATTGACAGTTTATTCTAACTTGTAAGTTTAGAAGATTGTGCAACTTTTATCTTCAAAATTTTGGAAAAACAGACTAGAAACTATAAGTTATCAAATGAGTTCTGATTGTATTCAAACCAAACTTGATTATTTTCTTTTTAAAAATTTTCAAACACAAGCCAAGTTCAAATTATTCTTTTAAACTACAAACCAATCCTAAACATACCTCTATCCGGGTTGTTAAGGCTAATTTCCAGCCCTAACAATTTGTACTCTATTCAAGACAATCACACTCTTGTTTTCATTTTTAGGTCGGTGTATTTTAGTTTATTATTTCAATGTATCATATTTATTTAGAATCTTGCAACACTTTGTTAACGTTCAACTAGGAGTTTATTACCTGTTTTATGCCTAACTTTAACAAGTGTAAATTAGAAAGATTCAATGGACTAGTAGGGAGGCAGATCAAGTTACTCATAAATTAAGGCGTTGTGCTGACAAAGTTTGTGATTATATGTAGTTGAAGCAGGCTTCTAGTTTTTGACATGGGTTTTTTTTGTAATGAGTTTACAGTTTGAAGTAATAGAAATTCAATATTTTGTTATAAAAAAAAAGAAAATTCATAAGTGTTGTGGAACTAATGATATGTAATCTGCACAATTTGATTGTGTATAGCTACATGGCAAGGTTTACATATTGAAAGGATTGTAGTCTTGCTATTTCTGTTATAATTATTGTTCAGATGGCGCAAGTTGTTAAACTACATTTCCTAGAATAAAATGCGAAGGACCATAAACTATATAATTGCCCAATATTTTGAGATTTACTCTTTAAATGACGTGCTAATAAATTAAATTTGGAGCAGGAATCCAACTGTT